CTCTTCAGTCCACAGGCCAACGTTCTATCCACTGAGCCAAACCGGCTTGGGCTATAAATATTGTTATTCATCAAGCACAATTACCTGAACCAAATTTAGGGAGAGGGAAAACTAATATTAAATGAGCACAGCCTTTTATTATATACTAGAGGCCTGGTGCATGGATTCGTACACCAGTGGGGTCTCTCGGCCTGGCTGTGCCCTCTCGCAATCCGGGACCCCTCAGGGGATGTTGGAGAGCTGGTATCATGCCGGAAGCCGGTCCATCCTTGCTGCTTGACACAGTCGCTGCAGGGAAGAAACATCTGCACAGCTTATGTTTCAAGGGACCTGGCGTATATGGCATATGTTTGCTCCCCCTCTTAGCGCTATGTGTTTTAAACAGGACCACCTCTCAGAGAAAGGTTGTTTCCCCAGGTGGGGATTTTTCCCTGGAGTTAGGGAGGGAATGAAACCCCTTAACTAAGTGCCAAGTGGGTAGTTAATCACTTTAACTACGAAGAATCACACTTAAGCTACATAATCTTCACTTAGGATAATCTCCTTCAGTCACTTCCTTGTAGCTTATCAGTAGAGCAGTAACCTGGGAATAGCCCTTATAATGGAACACAGAGATTAACCTAGACAGGATTAAACTCAACAGAACTAGATTAACAAATGCCCTAACCTTTGGAATAGAATGGATAGGATTAAAATCAACTGGTATAAATACAGATGTAACAGGACAATAAAGACAGAACCTGGCTAGAGAGAACCTCACTATGCTGATCAACTGAACACTGCCTCTGAGTCATTCCTTCTTTGCCGACTCCGTCCACACCTTTGGGAACCCCTGGACCTGCTGGGGCTGGACCCCAACAGTATCGGCCTGATCACCGCAGGCCAGGCCAAGGGACCCCACTGGTGCACAAATCCATGCACCGGGCCTCTAGTATGCATATAAGATCTTTGGTTAATCTCTTCCTGCCCTCCTCCCTTCCCTCTGAGATTCATCAGTCTGTTCCATGTTTTCATGCCTGTGGTTTCCACTCCTGCGTTGAGCATCTGCCCCCTGGTGGTCAGTGCATGTCATAGCTACCAGCTAGTCGGTCAGCCAGTCACTTAGGATTTTATATATATACTAGAGGCCCGATGCACAAAATGCGTGCAAGGAACTCGGCCCTTGCAGCCCCGGCTTCATCCGGAAGGTCTTCTAAAAGGTCGTTCGGCTGTCGGATCTAATTAGCATATTATGCTTTTATTATTATAGATATAGATGATTTATGTTTATTCATTAACACTTATTAAGTGCAAAATTAGTTCTAGTTCACCTTCCACTACTATCTATATATCCTTGGTTAAATTAAGCCTCTCCAATCTTGACTTCCTCATCTATAATGACAAAAAAATAGAAGTGATGTCATAACACTATATAGTCTATATGCAAGTAAAATATAACTTATTTTTCTATGCTCTCTCCTGTTTAGCTATTGCAGACAGATTAAAACATACTTCTTATGCTTGAGTTTGAGCAAATTCTTATAAACAAAAAAATGCAATACAATGTAATAAACAAATTGGAGGAAAGTACAATCACCTTTAGAAGTGATTTATCTATCCCCATTCTACAGATGAGGAAAATGGGGATGAGATGAACATTCATTTCAAATTCTATACCTTTTCCGTTATACTATTCTGCTTCTGAAAATGTAGGAAATTAACACCACTCTGATTCTTAAAAGCCCCAGCTTTCTTTGGGGCTATCTAAAGTTTCCCTTCATGCTCTACTCCGGACATTCTCCAAGCTCCAGGCTTCAATAACTGCCTATCAGTGACTTGCAAATTTTATCTCTAGTCCAGATTTTTCTTCCCAGTTTTCCACCAGTATAATCTAATAGTGTAGTTGACTTCTCCATTTAGTATGCCAAATTGAACTACTAGCTCTCCCATCTCATGAACTGTTCTATTATCCACCCTGCTTTTTAAGCTTTTACCCTCCATCATATTGATATCACTGTTCTAAACTTTTATTTCATCTAACCCTCATAGTATTCCTGTGATACAGGTTCTGTCATTCTCCTAATTTTACAGTAGTAGTGTTCAAGAGAAAACCACAGGCCCAAAATGGTGTCACGCATGCTAAAAGCCCAGGCTACCAAATCTACATTTAATACCTGATCTAATTGCAGCTTAAATCTCTCCCAGTCACAGTTAAGTTTTTTGTTGTTGTTGTTAATCGTCACCTGAGCATATTTTTCCATTGATTTTTTAGAGAGAGTGGAAGGGAGGGGAGATAGAGAAATATCGACGTGAGAGACACATCGATTGGTTGCCTCCTGCATGCACCCTAGTCAGGACAGGGGATCGAGCCTGCAATGGAGGTACGTTCCCTTGACTGGAATCACACCCACAAACCTCCAGTTCTTGGGCCAACGCTCTATCCACTCAGCCAAACCCGCTAGGGCAAGCATGTCAAACTCCGCATGCAGCCCACAACGAATATTTTTGTGGTCCAGCCAATATAACAGTATGTAAGAAACGTTTTAATAAAAATTTCGTAACTTAATTTTTACAATATCCTGTTATACATAATTATTAATAACAAACAACGTTAGCTAATGACTGATTATTATAGTCGTGTTGCATTCATTTCCCTTATGTGCCTTATGCACAGGCGCACCATTTCTCTCTGCTAATACTAACAGCAAATACTTTAGCAGCTAATTGCCACGTCATTAGTCTTGGACTGACTTGTTTGCTGTGCACAACAGGAAATATTTTGCTTTCGGAGAACAAGATAAATAGGTTTATTTGCAGTAAGCTTATTAATTTGTGCAGTTATTCAGTGTCTGGTAAGTTAATATTCAAGAAAAAATATTTTTATTAAAATGTTCTATTATTTTATGTTAACGATTACTCACTTATTTCAGCCCTTTGTATTCAGCATGTCTCTATCGAAATAAACCTACGTTTCTATGAAAATTGAAGCTTTTGTTTTTTTGCGGCCCACATAAACTTAAACCTTGTTTATTTGGCCTGTGTTAGCCTTTGAGTTTGAATGCTTGCACTAGGGCTGTTTTTTTTAAATGTTTTTATTGATTTTAGAGAGGAAGGGAGAGGAAGAGAAACATTGATCGCTGCTTCCTCGACTGCTTCCTGCATACGCCCTCCTAGGGACTGAGCCTGCAACCCAGGCATGTGTTCTGACCAGGAATCGAACCAGTGACCTCTTGGTGTACAGAACGACGCCCAACCAAGCCATAACTGTCAGGGTGACAGTTAGGCTTTTAACATATAGGTTACAATGCCTACAAGATTCCAGACACTCTGAGCAATTCACTCCACTCACCCACTGCCAACACCTAGCACAAGCCATCATTTCCCATCTAGACTACTGCAATAGGCTGGGGTCTCTCACATTCATACCTTGCTTACTTCTATCTATTCTCCATACAGCAACAAGAATGATCTTTTAAAAATAAAGTTCTGATCCCATCTTGCTCTTAAAACCTCCTAATGACTTTCAATTCTTTCTCAGGTGTCTCTTCCACTGGCATTCAGCATTCCTGCTTTACTGGGCTTTTTCTTTAGCTTCATTCTCTCCCTCCTCAGGACTTTGGAAATACTGCTCATTTTGCCTTAAAAATTTGCCCTATTTAACTCCTTCATTCTTCTCGAATCAACTAAAACATCACTTCTGCAGAGAAGTCCCTTCTTGTTCCCTGTGTACCCATTAGACTGTGAGAATCATGAGAGGAGGTCCCATGTTTGTTTTTGTTCTTTGCTCCTTTCCCATTAACTAGAATTGTGCTTGGCATATAATAGCAGGGTCTCTGTAAATATATGAAAGAATAAGAAATATAGGTCAATGCAAGGAGATATCACCTCTCATTAGCTGGTGCTTAGGCCAAAGTTTAAGACTTAACATTATAACTAGGTATTTAAATGAAATAGGTTTTATCCTACTAGGAGGATCAGAGAATAAAACATTAACAATAAATTAGTTGGTATTTTATCTAACTAATGATGAGGTTTATCTCTACACTACTGTTCACTTTCACAATTGGCAAAGAATCTTATTTCCTAAGATCTCCCTAACTTTTAATTTTTTTATACACTCAAAATACACACAAAGACAAGGGAAAACTTTTAATTATGTACAATTTTATAATGCAGATTATTAAATACAGAGAACAATGAATCCAAGATTTAGGATGTTGACTCAATACTAAAAACTGAAGCACATTATGGGCATTAGAACATAGAGAATGGGTAGTATTTCCTCAATTTGGACATCCTGTGAAGTGATATACATATCCACCTAATATAATCAATGCCCACAACTTTTATACCTAAAATCACCCTGAGTCACACTAGAAAATTAGTCTCATTCCTTTACAACCAGAACCCAATTTGACCCCTAAAATGTTTCATTGGATTTGATCCCAAATGACTTTGGATGTTTCAAAACTTGAAAAACTTCTACACAAGATGAAGAGATGTGATCACAAAGAATATTTAAAAGACTACACTACTAATTCTAAAGGTCATTCCAAAACAGGAATTTTAATTATCTTGCACATTCTTGGAAAAAGTGTCCATACAACATTCTTTTGGATACAAAAGTGTTGTAACTCTTTTTTTAAATTGATTTTAGAGAGAGGAAGGAAGAGGGAGACAGAGAAACACTGCTGTGAAAGTGAAACATCCATCGATTGCTTCCTGTACACACAATTGTCTTGTGTTTGAATGGGGATCAAACCTGCAACCTGGGTATGTGCCCTGACCAGAATTGAACCCGTGACCCTTCAGTGCACTGGACGATGCTCCAATCAACTGAGCCACACCAGCCAGGGCAGTGTTGTCACTTTTAGAAAAACAACAACGTGCTCTTCAGCCAATTATCCTCAAAGGCAATAGGGACATATCACCAGCTTAGATTGCCACGCAATCACCATGCGCTGGAGCATTCTTTCCATGTCTCTCCTCTAGAGCTCCTTGTGGCACAAAGATGCATAAGGTCACTGACAAGATTTAGAACAATGTGCTGTAGGCAGGTTTTGTAACTGAAGCTTGAGCAGTTTTCGAGCTGGTGAAGAATCTAATTGTTGCGTACTTCTCTTGCCTACACAGGAAAGGAGCCAAAAAATAAATTTCAATTGAATTCAAATAAGGTTTATTGCAAACTTACTGCATGGATACTGTGCCAGACTGAAGGGCATTACAATGACAAATAAGAATCTCCGTTCTCAAGGAGATGACAGCTGGTAGGAAAGCCAGCTATAACTACAACCAAAATACATTGTAATAAATAAAAAAATGAAGGTATGTATAGCAATAATTTAGGGCTAGAGTAAGTAAGGGCAGTGTCAGTGAATTTTTGAGGAATGAACAGGGGAAAAAAGGCAATGAGTATTTCTTAAATCTCAGATTTACTAAAACAAGATGGTTTGTGGGAATTTAATTCTTAGTCTACTGTGTTTCTGTGGAATTTCCCATCAACTACGAGTACCCTCAACATAATAGTTACTGTGAAAGAGGGGGAGGGGGAACAAACCACTTGATGTGGCCTTACCCTTTGAGACCATGTGCTAAGTAAGGGCAGTTTAAACCTGAAAGGTTAACCCTCTAGTCCCCTCAAGAGATACACTTACTGAGTTGTACTGACATCTTCTGGAAGCACTGGGTACTTTCGTCCATAAAGGCATGCAACTGCTTCACTGATCCTTGCAATTCGTCCATCTGCAGATGAAAGACAGCTATGAGCTATAAGGGTCCACGGCTTCTTTGATGTTCCTCAAACACACCAGGCAAGCTCCTGCTTGGGAGCTGTGCTTTTGTTGTTCTTTCAACCTGGAATGCTTATGTCAGACATTTTCCGTTTTCTCCTCCAGATCCACACTCCACTCCTTCACACTGTTCTATGCCCCAGAAGGCTGACCGAGATAACCTCTAGGATCCCAAGTCCTCTGAGTTCTGGGTGGGCTTGGTCCAGAGGGAGCCCAAGCAGGGGGGGTGCTGAATGAGGTCTGCATATTTTTACCCAGGCCTGCTCAGGAAAGGATCATTCTGAGTTAGCTGTGTCTCTTAACTGAAGGTCATGGCTCTCTCAAAACAGCCCACTATGGGACTTTCTCCCCTCAGGTGCCACAGTAACTCTTCCTCCTCTCCTCCCTGCAGGCCTAGGGGTAGTAAGAGCTCAGCTGCCCCACGTTCCTTCACTAACCCTTATGGTTTCCCAATATCTACACTTTATACATAGCCCCTTATAAACTCTCCTTGAATTACACTTTATCAACTACTTCCTGCTGATACTTGGAATGATAAAATACTAGTACTATTCTCTCAAATGTCCTCATGGCTCACTTCCTCATTTCTTTCCAGTCTCTGTTAAATGGCACTTTAGAGGGACTATCAACAACTGCTCTGTATAGTATCCTACTGCCCTCCTGTACACTGTCTCCCTTACTCTGCTTTAACACTAATCACCACTTAGTATTTGTTTCTTTTAATTGTCTCTCCATGTTTCGCCAAGGTAGAGTTAATATACTTACCTTATCTTATTAAACATATTCTCCAGGTCTTTTCATTTCCAAGGATGAGAATGTAGCAAAGCTGGATAACTCAACCAAATATAAACATGAGCCAACTCACCACCAATTCCATACAATCAAAGACTTTGTTCTGGTTCTGTAATATTTTCTGGTAATCAGGCTTTGTATTAAGGACTTCATTCTGGGAAGACCCAAGATATGCTGTAGGTTCAACTTCAGTCATTTTTGTTTCAGTTGATCCTCTAAAAAACAAAGGGAGCTTTTAAGGAATTTTTATAATCACTTTCTGGGGAAAATAATGAAAGATCACCTAGGGAAAAAGCCTCCAATAAGACTTCATTAACCTGAAGCAATATTCTTCTTATTAACAGTGGGGTCTAAAACCATTATCTGGTATTAATTTTTTTAATAAAGAAAATTTGATTTTATTAATTTTTAGAGAGAGAGGAAGGGAGACAGAGTGATAGAAACGATGAAAGAGAAACAACAACATCAATCAGCTGCCTCCTGCATGCCCCACCACTGGGGATTGAGCCAGCAACCCAGGCATGTGCCCTGACCAGGAATTGAACCTGCAATCTCCTGGTGTATGGGTCAACACCCAACCACTAAGCCACACCGGTCAGGCCAGTATTAATTTTTTTTTTTGGAGGAAAAATTAAACCATATTTATTTTATTTCTAATTTAAATTCTTTACTGTTTAAAGTATTACCTATGTCTCCTTTTCCCCCCATTGACCTCTCCCCGACAGTTCCCAACCCCCAAAACTTATTTATTTTTTAAAGCCAGACCACTGGGAAAATATATCACAGTCCTGAAACAGCAAACAGACAGGCTATATTATCATTTCAAGTAATAAGTTGGTAAAAAGACAACAAAGTCCTTATCAAAATTGTAAGGTGCCAAAGCTGGGGTAGGAATACTGAAGGCCCCAGGCCAAAGTGGTATTTGGTAATGGGGGGTTGCCCCTCTTTTGCTCTAATGAAGCAACAACTCACCCCTGAGTTGCTTACTTTTTCTCCTTTAACCTTCCTGTTGCCAAAAGATTATCTTAAGTAGGGCTGTTATTTGAGGGGGTTAAGTAAGCAATACTGGGTTTAGGTTTCATTCCTGAAAACCAGGTTTATCCTAAATCCAGTACTTCATAACTCTTTTTTAAAAAATATATCTTATTGATTTTTTTACAGAGAGGAAGGGAGAGGGACAGAGAGCTAGAAACATCAATGAGAGAGAAACATCGATCAGCTGCCTCCTGCACACCTCCTTCTGGGGATGTGCCCACAACCAAGGTACATGCTCTTGACCGGAATCAAACCTGGGACCCTTCAGTCTGCAGGCCAACGCTCTATTCACTGAGCCTAACCAGTTAGGGCTACTTCATAACCCTTAATGAAGCAACCAACAGTTCCTCCTTCACTGTTCATTCCTGGGTATTGGTATAGGGCACAATCAAAATCCCCTTTCCCTTCAAGATAGAGAACCACTGTAAGATTGTCCTGTCACTCTGCTGCAGACAAGCTTAGGGCCCATCATGGCAGTCAGTGAGAAGGAAGGTCTGCTCCCATACCCAGTGTGACATTGCCTCTCATGTTTCTGTGGGGTCTCCAAGCTGGAAGATGTAATGTGTGAGCATTTAAGAAGTGCACATCCACATCTTGGGCAGAAACGGATATCCAAAGAAACCTTTTGAAGTTTTTATCCAAACTACCTCCCTCAACTCCACATCTTAAATTAACTTTATGCCCTTGTATATAAAACAAAACCAAGCAAAGCAAATACGCAGAAACCGTTTTTCCACTTCTAAATTAGTAAGCTCATGGATTTAGTTTCACAGCCTATGGGAAATGGTGTGGTAATGCTTCTGGTAAACACAAGGTTGCAACAAACAGAAACACCTCTCCTCAGATTCTACTAGATCACTGGCAGGCTAGAGGAAACTGTCAGCCTGTTGGTACCTCAAGGGCTCTAGCTTGAGCTGAGAGAAATGCCTATTGCCAGGATAAGCATTTGCCACATCAAAAACTCTGACCTAAATTTGAGCACCAGTTTTTTCCATTTCACTTTCCAGGATTAAAACATAAAGAACTGGTGTCCAGAGGCAAGTGACACATGCTTTAAACTTGCTGCCATCCTTAATTTCTTCATCTATAAACTTTGCTTAAAAGACCAAAATTCTTATTCTTCATTTTAAATAGATTCCTGCCCTCAGCCTCCATGGCCAATGGCAAAGACTTCTGTATCTGAATGGATGAGAGAGACTCCTTCATCTTCTTAGTCATGGCTGGAATGAGGTTCATATGATCATCCACACACTTGGTCACACAACCCTCCAGCTGCCGCTTCACCTGACACTCTATTCCCTGCATCTACTGAATCTTTGGCTTTGTCGTTGCAATGCATAGTGCACCAGGCCAGCGGGTCCTGGAACTTCTCCCAGTCACTGGTAACCAGGGCCTGGGCTTGAGTCAAAGGTGCGTGGAAGCACTCAATGCACCGGTGCACCTGCTGCATGGACGTGGCTGTTCTCACAACAGCCAGCACTGCACCGGAACATGAGGCCCTGCATCTTCCAGATATTCTCTTTCCAGACTCTTCACCATGGTGTCCACTGCCTCCTGCACCCGAAGCTGCCACAGGTCCGCCTTGGCGACCCTGTGCTGCACTGTACCACGATGGCGCCCCCATGGACTCCATTAATTCTTTTACACCACTGGACTCCAGGAAATGCTAGACGCTTCATGTCAGTTAATTCCATTTAACAATAAGATCCATTTACAAAAGAACTACAGTTGGGGTAGAGTAAAGCCAAAGCTTGTTATCCTTAAGTCAATGTCTATGATCTTTCACCAAAAAAATGCTAGGTTACCTCAATTATCTAAAATAACTGAATATAATGGAGAGTTCATAAAAACTGGTGACTCTTTAATAAGAGCAACTACTACAATTTACTGAATGCCAGACATTGCTAAGCGCTTTCCATTTAACCTCATTTAACACTCACAATAACCCAATGAGATAGATACTAATATTATCTCCATTTTTTTAAAGGTATTTTTTATTATTGATTTCAGAAAGGGAGAGGGAGAGGAAGATAGAAACATCAACGATAAGAAAAAATCATTGACTGGCTGCCTCCTCCACACCCCACACTGGGGGTCCAGCCTGCAACCCGGGCATGTGCCCTGACCGGAATCAAACCGTGACCTCCTGGTTCATAGGTCGAAATTCAACCACTGAGCCATGTCAGCCGGGCTTATCTCCATTTTTAAATGAGGAACTTCAGGCTTAGAGATTAAGTGGCTTGCCCAATATCACAAATGAAGTAATATTAGGATTTGAACAGAAGCAGCCTGCTTCCAGAAGCATTCCTCTTAACCAATAAGTATGCCACATCAAAATTTTTTATTCCGAAACTGATATATCTTATACATTATGTCTTCATAAAGAGAACATGTCCGGGTTGAATAAAGTAACTGATAACCATCAATGCCTGCACTGGGGAAGTTTTTCAAACCGTATTCCTCAAAGCACCTCTCTACTAAGAGGCCACTTTTGCAATTAGAGTTTTAGCTACCATTTTTTAAAAAAAATATATTTCTTTATTGTTTTCAGAGAGGAAGGGAGGAGAGAGAGAGAGAGAGAAACATCAATGTTTGAGAGAGAATCATTGATCAGCTGCCTCCTGCACGCCCCCCACTGGGGTTCAAGCCCGCAACCCAGGCATGTGCCTTTGTGCCCTTGGCCGGAATTGAACCTAGGACCCCCCAATACGCAGGCCGACGTTCTATCCACTGAGCCAAGCCGGGCTAGCTACCATTTTGTAGTTGGGTTCTTACCTAAGATTCTGTTTGGAAAAAAAGATTAAAAATCACTAGCTTAGATGGCCAACTAAACAAAAACCTAGCACTTTGCCACTTTATTGTGCCTTTAAGACCCAGACAAAGATCCTCTCTTTCCATCACCCTCTTTCATGTCTTTGCATTTCCACAAAGGCCTTGGCTAGGGTTCTCTCCCACACCTGCAGCTCAAAGGCTATGTGCCCACTAAAGTCCCCTGACTAATGTTTTTGGCCCAGCCCAGGATTCCAGGTAAAAAGCAGAGATGTGCCTGTCTCCCACAGGATGTAGAATGGCAGCCAAAGACACAGAACACAGGCAACTCTGTTCTTTGATTGAACATAGTGATGCCAGCTCCCTTCCTTTCCTTGACTCTCCATTTAGGGTCAGAGAGTGCTAATAAATATTTTACAGAGCTTTGATTAGCCTATAAGATTCGTCATTTGCCGAAACTGGTTTGGCTCAGTGGATAGAGCGTCGGCCTGCGGACTGAAAGGTCCCAGGTTCGATTCCGGTCAAGGGCATTTATCTGGGTTGCGGGCACATCCCCAGTGGGAGATGTGCAGGAGGCAGCTGATCGATGTTTCTCTCTCATCGATGTTTCTAACTCTCTATCTCTCTCCCTTCCTCTCTGTAAAAAATCAATAAAATATATTAAAAAAAAAAAAAGATTCGTCATTTAATTTGTGTTAATGAAACTCAAACTCCACAAAGTGAAAACATAGCTTCTGATTTCCAATCATAGATCTAACCTGGATAAGATCTCCTCAGCCTCCTTCTGATAGTGCAGCAAGAGCTGATCCCAAGTCTGACGTTCTAAGGAAAACCTATATGATCAGAAAAAAAAAATTCTGTTAGTTTTTGATTATCTCATTCTGAATCACTGAGGGCACCAATAGTACATTAGGTGTCTACTGTGGTTCTAAGATGTGAATAAAAAGGCCATTAAAGAATTAGAAACCATGACTGTTTTAGAGGATATTAATTTAATCAAATCAAACACATGTTCTTAAAATTAAATTAACATCCTTATTCCCTAGACTCCATTCTATGAATTTGGCCATAAGAACAGCCCATAAGATCCCAATATGCAGCTAACTTCCAGTGTTGCTACACCAGTATTGACACTCAGAACAGGATGTTTATTATTCATTTTCCCAGGTTTAATTATTTTCCCCAACTGAACTTAGATTTTTCAACAAAGGTTCATTCATTTTCACTTACTTTGTTATGTATTCCTTCATCTCAGCCACTGATGCTTCCAGAGACAAATCTGATGCTTTTCTGGAATACAGATAGCCTTGTGAGATAAACACAAATTTTTCAAGAACACTTGCTTTTAATATGATAACTTACGTAATTTCAAAGGCAATAAAACATGTTCAGAATTTATCTTTTGCCCTGACCAATGTGGCTTAATTGGTTGAGCATCGTCCTGTGCACCAAAAGGTCGCAGGTTCGATTCCCGGTCAGGACACGTGCCCAAATTGCAGGTTCAGTCCCCGGTTGGGGTGTGTACGCGAGGCAACCAACCTATGTTTCTATGTTTCTCTTTCACATCAATGTTTCTCTTTCCCTTTCTCTCCCCCCCTCCCCCCCCCGCTTTCTCTTTCTCTAAAAAAGAAAAAAAAAGTAAAAAAATTTATCTTTCGCCTGGCTGGTATGGATCAGTGGTTGAGTGTCAACCTATGAACCAGGAGGTTAAGGTTCAACACCTGGTCAGGGCACAGTCAAAACCCCCTTTCCCTTCAAGATAGAGAACCACTGTAAGATGGTTACCACAACACCGGATTGCAGGCTCAATCCCCAGTAGGGGGCATGCAGGAGGCAGCCAATCAATGATTTTCTCTCATCACTAATGTTTCTATCCCTCTCCCCCTCTCTCTGAAATCAATATAAAAATAATTTTTTTTTAAGTTCAAACCCTAAAAAATAAAATAAAAATGTTACATTAAAAAAAGAATTTATCTTTCAACAAATATTTATTTCTTAGCCTCTCACTTTTATACTAGATCTCTTCATCTTTTCTCTCTCTCTCATCAATTCCAATTCACACATGGCCAGATGAACCTTTCTTAAAATATTCCTTTAATTTCTTCCTTGCTTAAAAACTCTGTGACCCTCTACTGCATTCAGAAGAGAAGTAAAACCTCCTTAATCTGGCACTTAAGGATCTCTGTTCTCGCTCCATCCAGTTCATTAACTTTGATTCCTACTGTTCTCTTTTATCTATTCTGTCCAATATAATCTCACTCACCCTGACCCTGAATATCCGGGGTTTTCAATCTCTCAACTCCTGTTCACATCAGTTTTTAGTGTCTTCCCCTTCCACCAATCAAAACCTTAACATCTTTTAAGGCCCAACAATACTTTTTCATATGACTGTCTTGTCTTCCTCCTTAAACTGAAGCTATCGCGGTACAGGGGACTTACACTAAGGGCTCAGCACAGTTGAGTGACTAATTCTAATGGAAAAGCAGCACTGAAAATGCCAAAATTTTGCAGATGTACTAGTACTTGGTACTCTACCTGACAAAAACAAATGAATTGTTCTACCTTTCATGTTTTTCTACCAAGGCCTATGACACACAGCCTCTATCAATGCTGGCTTATGGCTTAAATACACTGCATTAAAAGAGACACTATGTTAAGCAAAATTTTGCTTATTTTTTTTCACTCAAAAAGCCTTTGTGTTTTTATTTAGCTTCCTGATTCTATGCTTGTGCCTTCAACACTTTCACAACAATTTTCAGCTCCTCAATAAGGAAAGCACACTTGATCCTGGCGCAGGCAGATCTAGCACACACGGATCCACCATAAGCCCTGCTGACATGTTTTTTCATTTTAGACAACCTCATTAGAACTTTAGGTCTCATAGCACGAGTTCCACAAAGTTGCCTGGGCTCACACCATGTCCAGATTTTGGTGCTTTTCCAACCTTCTTGGTATAAAGGTAAACAATGTTTCAGGGTTTGGGACAGCCTAGTTTTGTTAGAGGCTGTATTGTAGAACCATCTCTGGTGGTATGTCAAAAGCTGGACCATTCTAAATGCCCAAAGACTCTGTCCCCAGAAGAATGAGTCAAAATATTTTTCATTACCCAAATACCAATGTTAAGTTAAGGATAGGTGGAAAAGTAGACCTTTGCAAAGTCAAAACTAAAAAGTTTATGATGTAACCTCTAGTGACATGATTTACTGCAGGGCAGGGCTCCACCCATATAGAGGAACTACAAGTTTACGGTTGGGATTTCTAAATTCTCTTAATATTCTTGCTTGTAAACAGCTAAAGAACATAAGTTTACAGGGGAACCTCAGTTCTCCAACTTAATTTGTTCTGAAAGGTTGTTCAAGAAGTGATTTAGTCAAAAACCAAAAATTTTTCCCATCCTGAAGTGGAGGGGGGGGGGTGGGCTAGAAGGGGTCAATGGGGAAAAAAAGAGGACATCTGTAATACTTTCAACAATAAAGATTTAAAAAATTGTTTTTAATGAATCCCTATTTTAACCTTTTTTATATACAGTACTTGTCTAATGTACTCTTTTTGTTTGTTTTAAGCCTCATCTGAGGATATTTTTCCACTGATTTTTAGAGAGATACAAAAGGGAAGGGAGGGAGAGAGACACAGAGAGAAAAAGAAACATCACTGTGAGAGAGACACATGGATTGGCTGCCTCCCGTATGTGCCCTTGACCGGAATCAACCTGGGACCCTTTGGTCCGCAGGCCCAAACAACTTGTTAAAGAACCAAATTGTTTGAGATGGGAGACATTAGGAACTGAGATTTGGCTGTTGCATGGCTAGCAAAAATCTGAAGAATGCTTTTCCTTTCATCTTTCCATAGCTGGTTCCTTCTCACCATTCAGATCTAATAGGTCTCAATCCAAAGGTAAATTCAGTAGAGGTCTAGCTAACCCACCCCCTCAAGTCACTATTATTGACTTCTTAGATCACTATTTTATTTTATTTACTTATTTATTTTTTTATTTTTTTAAAAAAAATATATTTTATTGATTTTTTACAGAGAGGAAGAGGGATAGAACATCGATCAGCTGCCTCCTGCACACCCCGTACTGAGGATGTGCCCGCAACCAAGGTACATGCCCCTGACCGGAATCGAACCCGGGACCCTTGAGTCCGCAGGCCGACGCCCTATCCACTGAGCCAAACCTGCCAGGGCTTAGATCACTATTTTAAATCATTATATTTGTTTGACTGTATCTCCTATTAAAATATATCAGAACAAAATACCTTGTTTGACTTAGTTATCACTATTATCTCCAGCATCTAGAAGAGCCTGGTATGTAGAAGATGCTGAATAAATGTTTGATGAGTGAATGAACAACTGTCTAATTATAATAAAAAGCCTTAATTCAATTATAATTTAGGACAGAAGGGCAGCTGAACTTACCCTTTTGTATCTTCAAAACATTTCTGTAGAGTTCCATTACTTTCCAGTCTGTCTGCAAAATGTTTTAATTCTTCAGAAAGAGAAGATGCTAGAGAGAATAAAATTACATGTTATAAACAGAATATAAATTTTCACAGGAAGCTGCTGACAAAGACCTAATACACTTAAGATAGTCTCAGCTCTAGGGTCCCGTCACATTCTAACACTCTCACCTATTCAAAAAAGTGGTATAAATATGCAGAAAGATTTAATCTTTTGGGGGGGTAGATATAGATAAAATGTAATACAATTCCTCTTTATGACATTTATTGATAGTGTTTTTTAGATCTGACTGGTGAAGAAGCAGTTAAAAAGATATATCTGCACTGACATTTCATTCTTTTCAAGAGATTTGAACTGCTGGTGCTGAAAGGAAATATATCACAGAAGACAGGCAACAGGAAAGAGTGTTATAAAAAATGTTGAAGGCAAATAAAGCATTATAAGCATAAGGTAAAAACAGTTCTCTGCTTATACCTGAAGAGTCCACAATTACATTCAGGCGAAGAATAAGGAAGGAAAAGGATGTTAAATAGCTATCAAGATAACCTTGACATATCTATTCTAATTATGGTGATGGTCCAATTCTGAGATAATTTTAATTAACAAGTAAGTCTGAGTTCATGTATTTTCTTGGTTTTTAAAGTGGATAACTGAGTATTTTGACTCTGGATGATTGTGTAGTTACTGTAAGGAAAACAGCTACTTCCTAGATAGCTGAAAACTGATTCCTGGGAAAGAATATTTCTAATTTATATCATAGATGAACAGCTAATTTCCTTAAAATATAGAGTTTCTACAAATCAATATAAGCACTACATGTCAATTTTCAAAAATGAACGAAGGACATAAACAGAAAATGAAGCACATATAGTTCTAAATAATATTTAAAAATGTTTATCCTCTTTGAAAAACAGATTAAAACTACAAAATACCTTTTATCATCTGTAAAATATCTGAACTGTTTGATAAAACTGTATTGGTAAATGTGAAAAAACAGGTATGCAAACAAATATATCTGCATATATTGTTGGTGAGAGAATAAAATGAAACAACCTTTCTGGAAGGCAATCTGGTAATTTTTATCATTTTGTTTAACCTTTTTTTTTAAAAAAAAATATTTTATTGATTTTTTACAGAGAGGAAGGGAGAGGGATAGAGAGTTAGAAACAATGCAAGAGAACATCGATGCAAGAGAAACATCGATCAGCTGACTCCTGCACATCCCCTACTAGGGATGTGCCTGTAACCTAGGTACATGCCCTTGACCGGAATCGAACCCGGGACCCTTCAGTCCGCAGGCCGACGCTCTATCCACTGAGCCAAACCGGTTAGGGCTGTTTGACCTATTTTATTGCAACTCTAGAAATTTATTTTTACTTGTATATGTGCCAAAAGGCATGTGTAAAAAGGTATTTTCCCTGGCTGGTGTGGCTCAGTTGGTTGGAGCATTGTCCTGTACACCAAAAGGTCATGGGTTCGATTCCCGGTCAGGGTACATGCCCAGATTGCAGGTTCAATCCCTGGTCACGGTACATATGAGGTAGACAACTGAAGTTTCTCTCTCCCTAAAATCAATTTAAAAACATATCCTCAGTGGGATTAGAGAAAACAAAAAAGTATCCATTACCCTATTCATTGTAATAGCAAAAGACTGAAAACCCTAAAAGCCCACAATAAGAAATTGGTTAAAAAAAATATGGTACATTTATAAAATTGAATATCATGTGGCTACTAAAGTGTCAAGACAGTCCTACATGTGCAGTATGGAATAATCTGCAATATAAACTGTTAGGTTAAAAAAAAACAAAAGACAAGGAAAAGAACAGTGCAGAGAGTATTATTTGATTTTAATGTATAATTGTTTGCAAATGCAGTATCTCTGCAATGATACACAAGAAGCTGGAAGCTGTGGTTGCCTCTGTGGAGAGGAGCTGCGACTATGGTTTGGAGTGGAGGGCAGGCTTACTTTGCACTTTTATACCTACTGAACTTCATTAGCATATATTATTATTATTTTCTTAACCCTCACCTGAGGATATGTTTTTATTGATTTTCGAGAGAGAGGAAGGGAGAAACATCAATCGATTGCTTCCAATGTGCGCCCCAACTGGGAATCGAACCTGCTACCTTTTGGTGTACGGGACGATGCTCCAACCAACTGAGCCACCCTACTAAGGCA